CACCTAAGCTATCACGTACCTCCAGATAATTAAACAAACACAAACACAATCACATACACGCAATCACATGCAGGCACAATTCTCATTTTAGACATTCATTTCATTCTCATCATATCTTTTTCACATTCCTCGCTAGTGACCCGCGTAAAAGTACACGCCTCAGGTACACTGCGACCTCTTTTCACAACACTTCCGGGCCCGCGTAAACGTACACGCCTCAGGCCATGTTTCTTGCCCGCGTTGAAGTACACACCTCAAGCTCAACACCTACCACCTACTGCGCAACCCGCGTTGAAGTACACGCCTCAGGCTAGCAGTCTTCCGGTAATACCGGGCATCGTCCCGCGTAAACGACAACGCCTCAGGACGGCACAATTTCCACGAACACATATCACACCACACCCACTTTCTTACTCATGCACATGCTCCACAAGCATTTATCACATTTAACTGGCCAATCACACGTGGCCCGTGCACGCATTAATTACACATGACCCATGCTCACTCAGCATTTGACAAGGCCAATTTTAATAATTAAATCAGTCTGGCCCACGCGTGCATCCAACAGGCATATTTCAATCAGGCAATTACACAACCATGCACTCAATTTCATCACTAAAATTCAGTCACAGTTTAAACACACCATAAACGCACAATTTGCCATTTTTCTCCAACCAAATGGCGTCAAATAAATTCCGGTCCTTCACGAGACTTTCTCGCCATTAATTGCCGGTTCTAAAAATCCAACTTTCGTCCCGATCGGCCCATCACAGCCCAATGAACAGTCATCCACAGCCCACTGTCGACCTTCAATCACCCGCCAAAATTTCCCAAATTCCATTCTAAGGCCCGCCCATGGGTTTTGTTCATAAATCAAGCAAATTCCACATAATATTAAACCTGATTTCTCCCCAAAAATCATCTGTCGATACCCGAAGTCCTAAATTGGGTTTAGAAGGACTTACCTAGTTCTAGACTCACGCGGCTAGAACGGAAAGCGGCGGCACTTAATCGGGAACGGCGACGGCGGGGGCGCGGCTTGCCTTGGCCGAGACCCACGGCTACACGGGGAGAGAGAGAGAAGGAGAGGGACAGCGTGGGGCTGGCGGTGGTGCGGCGGCGAGAACGGCACGGCATGGCGGCGGTTCGGCGAGCGTACGGACGGCGGCGACGGGCGAGCACGGGGCGGCGTTCGGCGGGGGAAGGGGGCTCACGGTTGAGGGGGGACCTTCGGTGGGTGAGGGGGACCGAATGGGAGAGAGAAGAGAGAGAGAGACTAGACTTAAATAGTGCCAATTTTGACCAAATTTGGCAAATGACCAAAATACCCTTCTTTCACATTTTTGATCCAACGGTCCAGATTCGATCTAATCTTGAAACCGACGGCCCAGATCGAATCTTGCCAAAAATATCCAAGGGCAATCTTGTAATTTCTCAAAAAAGTCCAAGGGCAAAATTGTCTTTTCCAACTTTTAGGGCAAAATTACCAAAATGCCCTTGCCCTTTAAAACTAACCCTTTAATAAATTCCAAGGGTAAAATGGTCACTTTCTCCGTTTCTCGCCGAAATCGAACTTTTCTGAAAAATCCGAAGAAATCCAGAGTTGTACGTTCCAATTACAACGTCGTCCAAAGGCCCTGCCGTGATTTTCCGAATTTTCTGACGCTCGGTTTGGTCTCTACTCAATATTCCAATTATATATTCATAACGTAACTCGAGCGTTTCTCAGACTAACGGGTGGCTTTTGGGGAAATTCGCCTATACGACCCGTGACTGATACTAAATCGAGTCACGTACAATTTATTCAGACCGTAATGACTTCGGTTGTCATTTAAATCGCGAGGATCGATCACTAGGTCCAATGAGTACGATCGTTCGGAATAAGTTCGGGATCGTTCGTCAATTCATTTCGTGGTCCGGCGGAATCACCCGCGATCCACTACTATGACAGTGGCGAACTGACCCTTAGTTATCCTTGGATCGGCCTACTATGGCTCAAAATGTCACCTTGGCGATTTTATGGTCGAAAGTCAATTCACGATCAAATTCTTACTTTGTCGCACGAATTTTAAGTCCCCAGTTAGCCTTTCCCTAATGGTTAGTATCTCAGGAATGATCAGTTCCGGGTGAGAACTAGCTACAAGTACATTAATAAAATAATTCATTTCATAAATCCCAAATGAGCGAAATTTCGAAATGTCACAGTTTCTAATGACGAGAATTAATTAGTATGCAACTATTCTAATATGACATGCACGTAGTATTTTTTTTGTAATTTTCTATGAAATTCGAAATTAATTAAATTCTATAATTTAAACATGCAATCTATCTTTAAAATCATCTACTTCAATAGTATCTAATCTTTTTGGATTTTTTTAGAAAAAACAATATCAATTCAAATCAAACAAAGATAGAAAGAAATAGCAATCCAACGACACCAAATCACAAGAAATATTATCCATATCCGTTTTAAATTTAGAAATAATAGATTGACGAATCATATCTTGGGCATGAGGATCAGATTGGCCAATCTTTCGTACAATTGCGAATCATATCTCGGGCGGAAGATCGGATTAACGATTTTTCGTGCGATCGCGAGTCATATTTCGGGCATGAAATTAGACTGTTGACCATAGCACATTACGAAATTAGTAAATAATTCCTAGTTTAAAGGCTATTCGGGAACTTATTGAATATGATAATATTACTCAAAGATTCGCATAAGATTGCAATATTTCAAATAAGGAAGCAATATACTCGAAAGTTAAATTAGATGAGCTTTTTACCTAATTCGAATATTTGCTTTCCAAGTTTGGACCGGAAGATGGCGGCGCGGATGAAGCTGGCCGTGGGGAGCTCGTGGTGACTCGCGTGATTAGCAAGAGGCGGCAAGCACAGTAGAGTGAGGAGAACCCGTGGCGAGAGCGCGGGGACGAAGCTTGACTCCACACGTTTATCCTTCCTTTATGTTATTTGTTTGCGGAGAACGCGGGATCCCGAGAGCATGATGTTGTCTCCTTCAGCAGCGAACTCACTCTCCACCAATTGCACTCGGTTTTGTCCTCTTGTGAACCTGCAAACAAAAATCGTCCCTGACAAGGAGAGAAAAGGATGAATTCTTTTGCTTCTTTCTCCACTGAAGCACTTCTTTATTTAATTATTGCTCTATTGGCCACTGCTTGACTCCTCGCAAACGACGGATGGAAGATTGGCTGAGTCAATATGATGTGAATAAAAGGCAGAGAACGAGCGAAGACACTAGCGAGCAGTGGATGGATCCGGGAAAACCGCAGGTGCGATACCGAGGCCTCGCCTTTGTGCGTTGGCTCGCTGGAAGAATCGTCGTGGGCTGGAGCTCGTTGGTATAGTGGATGGACGATAGAAGGGCAGCAGGGGACTCGATACTGGAGCAGCTCGTCATGGGGGCCTTTGGCTCGCAGTGGAAATAGCAGGTGTCGCGGTAGCGAAGCAGCAAGCGTGGAGCAGCCGAGAGGCTGGACGCCACAGAGGAGGGTAGTATGGCGTTGAGTCGAGCGACACGGCCACAGGTCTGGCCGTGTGGGGATCTCGGCCAAGGTTTGGCCGAGAGACTCCTTTTCTCATTTTCACGCCTTCTCTTTTCTCTCGGCTTTCCCCAGAATCATGGCCATGTATTCAATTGTCTCCCTTCACTACTCACCATTTTTTTCTCTCTCAATGGTGGCCGTATATGTCAATTCTGTGGCTCCCTCTCTATGCTCTCACTCACAATTTTTGGTCGTGTATAAGAATTGTCTTGCCTCCTCAATTGTGAACCCTAACACATCTATTTATAAGAGTTAGCTAGGGTTATCTTACAAGAGCCAAGATATATTATTTCTTAATTCTGATACTCAACTTAGGCAATTTTCTGATTATTTCTTCTAGCTGAATATTCACAGAATAATATGAATTATCTTCCAAGTATATTATTTAATAATTTGATAATTCAATTATTCCAACTTGCTCTATAATGCAAATTTTGGCCATATATGTATTCAATGGGCTTGGACAAACATATAATCTTTTGGGCTGAGTCCAATCAATTAAGCTCAAAACCATTCACTTAAGTCCATATCCCGCCGGTCCAATGCAAATGCAACTATATGAGCCTAATTACTGATGCAAATGCTCCTAATCTATATGTAATTTAACTAATAATTTTTTGTCTAAGGGCCGAGATCGATCCTTAATTTTTATGCAATGAACAATTAACTGCGTCGCCAAAATTTAGGTGTCAACATGTATATTTGGGGGTTTGTGGCCGGCACCATGGGGTCTCAATAGGGCACAAATTGTGTCCTAAAATATCTAATTTAAATGCACAAAATATCCACATAGGACATACATTGGTGGCCATTGTCCCTAATTACCTCAAATGATCACCAATCTTATGTATTATACACATATATGGCCATACATTAGTCTCCACAATTGTCCAATGTAATTCCAAAATTTTCGGGTCAAAATATGCCAAGTGTGTATTTACCGAAATTCCAAAGTATTTCGACAAGTGTATAATCAAACCTTGTCCATCACTAATTTCAATTCACATAATGTCACTAATTAATTATGAAAAATTTCAAGATGTCAGAGAGAGAGAGAGAGAGAGAGTCATCTTTTATTAATCCAACTTAATCACCCAAAGCTTACATTTGGTCCTCATCTTCTCCTCTCAATCAAAGGCTGCAAGTGCAAAACCCACCTTGATGAGGGAAAACCACCAACTTTATACAAATGAAGCCCAGAAAATATATCTCTGGTACCTAAAGTTAGAGAGTCTTAGACTCAATAGAACCCAATGGCTCCAAAAATTAGGATTAACCATAGAGAGAAGTATTGAAAAAAAAGAGAAGCTTCAATCTCTTGCAAGCTTCATCTTGAACATCTTCTCTCTATGCAAAACCCCACCATCCTAACACACCATCTCCTCTATCTCCGACTCATCTAATCATGGAGGTGAGAGACTGAAAAACGGCTTCCTACGGAAGCGTGATGCCCATGTCATGGTCAAACCCAAACTCCTCTTCGGCTCGTTGGAGCAGGCGCTGAAAATCGGGATGAGATAGGAAAGACAATGGGACGATGTATCTGCTCCTGCTTTCCCCAACGTAAACGGCGAAATAGCCCTTCGGCACATCAAACGGGAGGCTGTCCTCGATGTCATAGCCGTGCAATTTCTTGCCTAAGCTCGAGCACCTCTTGAGGATTTGCTTGATGACTGCCGCTTGTGGTAGTTTGTTCTGCTTCCTGAGGGCCATTTCTAGGATTGTGTTAGAGCTGATAGAGAGAGAGAGAGAGAGAGAGAGAGAGAGAGACTGGAGCACTTGCTTCAAGTTGGGTGTTGTGATGGAGGGTGAAGTGATGGGGTATTTATATTTGTGGGCGCAAGAGAGATATGTTGGGAACCATTGTGACCCTTCAATTGGACATGAGCAAGTACGACATAATGGTTATTTTATGTGATTTATTGACGCGATGCTGTCAAACTTCAATCTTAAATACTACCTTTCCCTTTATTTTACGACTCCAGAGATATTCGTTCTGTCTCAATTTGCATTTCCTTTCTGAAGTATTTGAACAACCCCAATAAACCAGAAAAATTCCATTACATAATAAAGCTCAACATGGCATCACGGACCAGCAAAGAGTACTTTACAGTGCAAACTCCTGAAGTCAGTTTTGTTTTCATTTAATTGGTTGGATTCTGATTCTCTCACGAATAATTGATAAAAAAGAGAAAAATGAAATCCTCAAATTGGGTGCAAATTACTCTGTGTTAGGATCATCTACACAGGTTAAAGGTTTGCAATTTGTTTGGTTCATAAGATTTATAGGATATTTCATGAGCCTCTAGGTAGCCACACCTCCACAACCGTGCGCTTGGATTATCAAATAAAAAAATGGACAATTACGGATAAGTTCTAAAACTTGTCATGTTAGTGCATTTGAATTTTTAAATTTTTGTCTCATACTTTTAAATCCTAAAGCTTGCAATTTCAATTTACTAGAATTTTTTATTTAACTCGTTAGTTTTAAATTGATGGAAAATGCCATGTTGCCTTTTTATAACCTTTTAAATACTGCGTGACATTTAATAAAAGAATGTAATGAAATATTTTTCATTCGCTAAATCTAATAAAGCTAATGGAATGGCTAAAGTAGACGAATGTGATGACAATTAGTACTTTCGTGTTATACTCGTTTCACGTAATAATTGTATCACGTCAAATTGATGTCTAATCCGAATAAGACACTCTAGTTAATAGTGTCACAACTTTGAAATGCATCTATGATATATTTATTGAACGAGTTATAAGGCCCGACATGACAAACACGTTGAAGAGATGAACTCTCATATAGAAACGTGCAGAAAGATGTTTAAATGTGTGCAAACCTAATTGTAAACATGTTTAAATATATCTAAACATGTCGTGTTGACACGATATATAACATGTTAACATATCTATATTAATATTTCTATAATGTGTCATAAATGGGTTAAGAGGGACGATGCACACACCGCGTACTTGTTTTTGTGTGATCAAATCCGTTTAAACTTGATACTAACATGCATAACTTTATTTATCTATATATTGGTCAACCAGCAGAAGTCGAAGCTGCCCACTCATCACCCTAGGCATGGGTTGCTACTATATTACCCTACCCAGCGGTAACTAGTTGAAACTAATATGGAGTCTAGTATCTATCGGGTACACATGTGAGGGTGCTAGGAAAAATGAGTCCTACAACAGTGATGCGATATAATGTGGAATAGTTAATATATCTTAATTAAGTCATAACTCATTGATTTTAATTTTTGTCAAAAAGTGAGTCCAATTGGACATATCGATGGGTTCGTACTTAGGCTTCCTTTTGATGATTTCCTAGAGTGACATATTGGGCTTCTGTTGTGTCAACTTAACAAGTGTTATCAAAGTCGATAGTTAATTGGTGGCGCACTCCCAATATGTATTAATGTATGGTGAATATGTTAAAGGGAGGAGAGTCTAATGTGACTCCCTAATTGAGGTGGCAAATGGTGCTCCCTGACGCCAAGCTTGGTATAGGCTAAGACGATTGAGGTGGAGTTTGAAGGGTATCAAACTTGGTCGGACCAGGGTGGAGATTCTTCAGTTCATATGTCGGGGCGGAAGTATATCCTAATTAGGAGGGAGAGCGGGCCTAACGAGGGTGACTCATGCGGGGAATATTTCTTAAGAACGTATCAGGGTATTAGGCGAAAGATGACGCATATCAGGGTTGTGGTGTAATGCGAAACGATTAATAATTTGCCAATAACTTATTGACCTAAGTTTTTTAGAAAAGATAAATTTAATTATATATATTTTTGGTCATAGTAGTTGCATATTTTGATGGGCTCAAATTTGAGCTCTCTCTTAATAATCACCTAGATGAATGTATTGGACTTTTGCTGCACGTCTTTCGAATGACAAGTGCTACCTTTTTTAACTCCATCTTTTGAATGACAGGCTCAGACGATCATCTGCCAAAGCTTAGCTAATATTTTATTTTTGGATGGAGTAAATTTTGCACAAGGCCAAACTTGTACAGGCCGAGGGGTAAGACACTACAAAAAAACACCGGATTAGCCACGAAATTTGCGACGGAAAATTTGGAAAAATCCGTCGCAAATCGAATTTGCGACGGAAAACATTGTTTTCCGTCGCTACTAGGTCGTCTATTCTAAGTCATTCTGTAAAGTTTTGTAAGAGAAAAATTGTTGTTATTGTTAAATTTTTTTTGGGACCTAAAAAAAAAATTTCACTAAAAGTTGGTGGCCACCGATATTCTAAGACATTCTGTAAATTTTTGAAATTTAAAAATTTTTAGAATTTTTGAATTATTATTTTTTAATATAAATTTTTTTCCGTGAAATAAAAATAATTTTTCATACTAAATTTGGGTGGCCACGGGTAGTCTAAGCTATTAGGTAAAGTTTCCAAAATTTTTGTCCTTCTTTATTTTAATAATTTTTAGGGCACGTTAAAAAAATTAAATATAACTAAAAGTGGGTGGCCACAGGTATTATAAGCCATTCCGTGAAGTTTTGAAAATTTTTAAATTCTAATTTTTTTTTGGCCACATAAAAAAATTAAAATTTCACTGCAAGTTAATGGCCACATGTTTTCTAGGCAATTCTATGCAGTTTTGAAATTTTATATTTTTTTAATTTTTTTTTCACCCAAAAAAAATAAAAATTTCCCTCACAATGGGTTACCACATTTATTTTAAGCCATTTTATATGGTTATGAAAATTTTTAATATTTTAATATTTTTTGTCCCGGAACGTTAAAAAATCTAAATTTCACTCAAAATGGGTGGTCACTATTAATTTTTGCCATTTTGTGATATTATGAAATTTTAGTTTTTTAAAAATTTTAAAAAACTTTTACGGTCAAATTTCATATTTGTTGCCAACATATACCATTTTTTTAATTTTTCGTAATTTTTCATGATTTTTTATAGAATTGTTCAATTTTCAAGCATTTTCTGTGAAAACGCTTAATCAATCACCCTATCGTCATTTAACGCTTAATCATCCACATAATAGACAAATTAAACAATCGACCATCGATCAAAGCCACATGCAATCCTGAAATCGACCCGTAACTTAATTAACGAAAAGTGATCCTAAATAATCCCTAAACAAGTCCGACTAATTACCTAATTATACTAACTAGGGTTTAGGGAGTTGCTTACTTGGTTCAAGGACAACAAAAACTGGCCGATCGAACAGTGGCGGTCCCGGCGCGGGCGTGGGCCCAAATGGTGACTAGTCGGCCAGGTGCTCGGCCACAACCGGGCGAACGACGGCGGAGCTCGGCGGCGACGGTGTCGGTCGGCGGCTATGGCGTCGGCGACGCGGCGGCGTCGGGCGGTGGCGGCGCAGCGGCAGGGCGGCATGGCGCCCGGGCGGCGGCAGCTGCGGCGGCGTCCGGGCGGCGGCGGATCGGCGGCGACGGCGTCGGGTGGTGGCGACAGCGTCGGCCGGCGCCCGGCTGAGAGACGGGTGGCCCAGGCTGGGCCGCGGTGGCGACAGTGGACGACGGCGTTTGGCGGCGGGCCGGCCGGCGGCGACGGTGGCTGTGCTCCGGCGAGGGCGGCAACGGGCGGGGGGCTGCTCCGGGGAGAGCCTCGAACGGCTGATGGTGGGCGGCAGAATTGGCGGCGCGTGGGCCGACGGCGTGGGCGGCTCCTAGCGGGCGGCGAGGCCGGGCGGTGACGGCGTCGGTGCTGGCCCGGGTCGGCGGCGAGGCTTCGGGCCGCCGCTCGGGACGAGACCAGGGCGGCGAGGCGGGCGAGGGCTGTGTGGCGCGACCGCGGGCGACCGGGCTACGGGGGGCATGGGGCGGCCTGGCCCGCGACCGGCGACGGCGAGGGGCTCGTGGGGCGACCTGGCGACGGGCGGGGGAGCTACGGGGCTGATCGCGAGGGCTGGGTGGCGACAGGCCGCGACGGCGAGGGCGCGACCGGCGAGGGGCGGGCGACGGGCGGGGAGGTGGCCGGTGCGGGGGCGGGCGCCCGCGATCGCCGACGGGCGGGGGACTGCGGGGCGACCGCGACGGGCGAGGGAGCTGCGGGCCGGCTGCGAGGCTGGGCGGCGATGGCGACGGCTGCGACGGCGACGGCGGCGGTGGAGCTGCGCAGATCGGGCTTGGGCGGCGTAGGGGAAGGGGGGGAGGAGGAGGAGGGGGTAATAATGTCGCAAATTTGCGACAGACTTTCTATGTCCGTCGCAAATTTTCGACCGACAAAAAATTTCCGACGGAAATAAAAATCCGTCGCAAATTTGCGACGTAAAAAAAAATCCGTTGCAAATTTGCGACGGAAATAAAAATCCGTCGCAAATTTGCGACGGATTAAATTATCCGTCGCAAATTTCGAGCGGTAAAAATTCCCTCGCAAAATTTACGACGGACCAGTATAGTCCGTCGCAAGTTTGCGACGGACAGGTTGAGTTCGTCGCAAATTTGCGACGGAACTCCACTTTCCGTTGCAAATTTGCGACGGATTAAATTATGTCCGTCGCAAATTTTCGTCCGACAAAAAATTTCTGACGGAAATAAAAATCCGTCGCAAATTTGCGACGTAAAAAAAAATCCGTGGCAAATTTGCGACGGAAATAAAAATCCGTCGCAAATTTCGAACGGTAAAAATTGCCTCGCAAAATTTGCGACGGACCACTATAGTCCGTCGCAAATTTGCGACGAACAGGTTGAGTCCGTCGCCAATTTGC